CAGCATTAGGCTCTTCTCCAGTGAGTCCTTCCTTCTCATTAGGTGGCCAAAGTATTTGAGTTTCCTCTTCAGGATCTGGCCTTCTAAAGAGCAGTCAGGGTTGATCTCCTCCAGGACTGACCAATTTGATGGCCTTGCAGTCCAAGGGACTTGCAGGAGTCTTCTCCAGCACCAGAGTTCAAAGGCCTCAATTCTTTGGCGCTCAGCCTTCCTTCTTTATGGTCCAACTTTCACAGCCATCCATTGCAACTGGGAAAACCATGGCCTTGACTATACGCACTTTTGTTAGCAGGGTGATGTCTCTGCTTTTTAGTAAGCTGTCTAGATTTGCCATAGCTTTCCTCCCCAGGAGCAAGCGTCTTTTAATTTCTTGGCTGCAGTCCCCATCTGCGGTGATCTTGGAACCCAAAGATCACCAAAATAACCCTAGTGTACCTCAGTCTCTAAAGCAATCCTAACATCCTTCAGATGCAGAAGTAGTCCTCTACTTACAACAGTTCATTTAGTGACCGTTCAAAGTTACAATGGCACTGAAAAAAGTGACTTATGGCCAATCTTCACCCTTATGTCCTTGGCAGCATCCCCATGGTAACGTGATCAAAATTCAGACACTTGGAAGGCTGCGTAACCTAGGGACCTCAGTTAAACAAAACCCACCAATGTGACAAATTGCTAGGAAGGAAAGAAACTACCAATCGATCCGTTGAAGGTGGTTGTAGAAACCCAGGTTCTTCTGGGTCTGCAAAAGGGCGCATTTTAACCTCCCACCGTCATCCTGAATCAGCTCGTAGCAGTTTCCCATTTGGAATGGAACATGCAACCCTTGGCCTCTGAATAAATGAAAAACTGAAAAGTGGGCCTCCTGCATTAAAGGTAAAGGTTCCCCTCGCATATATGTGCTAGTTGTTCCCAACTCTAGGGGGCGCTGCTTATCTCCATTTCAAAGCCGAAGAGCCAGCGCTGTCCGAAGACGTCTCCGTGTTCATGTGGCCGGCATGACTCAATGCCAAAGGCGCACGGAACGCTGTTACCTTCCCACCAAAGGTGGTCCCTATTTTTCTACTTGCATTTTTTATGTGCTTTTGAATTGCTAGGTTGGCAGAAACTGGGACAAGTCAACGGGAGCTCACCCTGTTACGCAGCACTAGGGATTCGAACCAATGAACTGCCGACCTTTCTGATCGACAAGCTCAGCATCTTAGCCACTGAGCCACCACGTCTCCTGCATTAGCCACCATTAAGCCATTTGTGGTTCCCAGAAACTGCCCTGTCCAAGGAAATTCCTTCCAGAAGGAAAGCAAAACATCAATTTCGAAGCTGCAAACAAGTGAAATCATGGTGACATCTGCTGGTCAGGAATGTTCTCGTCTTGGAAACAAAATCTTACCGCTGATCTACCAGAGCGAGAAGTCAAAACCTTGCAAAGAAAGAAGCCCAAATCACATCTTAAGAGTTAACGCTTTGCTTTTTCGATGGATGCAGACTTTCATCCTTGTCTTCTGCTTCAGTCGGTTTAAGAGAAAATGCTGTTGGAATTGTTTGACAGTAACATCTAACACTTATCGATCTATTGGGATTGCCTGGCTAAGGCCAGATGTATTGCGTATCTTATCCTGAAATACATTCTCAGAGGTGGCATTCAGCTGGTTCAGACCGGTTCGGACCGATTCAGACCGGTTCGGACCGGTTCGGCCCACCCGCCCCTGCCCTATGCTATCCTATTTAGCCACCTTTTCAAGCCGTGTGTGTGCGTGGAAGCTGCACATGCGAGCAAAGCTATGTAGAGAAGGCCGTGCACATACATGTAGGTGGCTTGTGCAGGCGAAGAGTGCACACCATTTTCGATGCTGTGCGAACCGGTAGGTACATTATACGAATCCCACCTCTGATTCCACCAGCATCTTCCATAGGTTCTTCATACGAAGTGCAATACATTGCAAGATTCTGCACTTTTGCTATTTAAAAAAAGGATATTAGAACTGTGGAGTCCTTGGTGCTCTCTGAGGTTGGTTGGTTGGTTGCATGCAGACGTTTCATGACCCAACTAGGTAACATCATCAGTGCTAGAAGGGAGTGGGGTTTGCTTTCTGTTTATATTATTATATTATATTATATTATATTATATTATATTATATTATATTATATTTATTATATTATATATTATATTATATTATATTATATTATTTATAATATTTATATTATATTATATTGTTACGTTACGTTACGTTACGTTACGTTTACGTTACGTTACGTTACATTATATTATATTATATTATTATATTATATTATATTTATTATATTATATTATATTATATATATATTATTTATATTATATTATATTATATTATTATTATATATATATTTTAAATTTGATTTATATGCCGCCCTTCTCCGGAGACTCAGGGCGGCTTACAAGGCGTTAAGCAATAGCCTTCATACTTTTGTATATTTATACAAAGTCAGCTTATTGCCCCCACAAACTGGGTCCTCATTTCACCTACCTTAGAAAGGATGGAAGGCTGAGTCAACCTTGAGCCTTGGAGAGATTCGAACCAGCAGAAATTGCAGGCAGCTGTGTTAATAACAGGGTGCGTAGATCACTGTACTATCAAGGCTCCTCCTATTATTATATTACCGTGTTTTTTGGAGTATAAGACACACCTTTTTCCCCCAAAAAAGAGGGTGAAAATCTGGGTGCGTCTTGTACTTCAAATGTAGCCCTGCCCAGCCTTGCAAACAGAGATTTCAGAGGCTGAAAGAAGCCTATGAAAGAAGCTTCAGAAAAAAAGCCTATTAGTCATTAGTGGTCCACAGGATTTTATATTATGAATTTAGTGGTCCCTGAGGTCCGAAAGGTTGGGGAGGTCTAAGATCCCTTCCAACTCTGTTACTCTGTTTTAGAGATCATCACTATCTGACCTGGCCAAATCTTGCTCCGTTCATCTTTGATATACGCTTCTAATGTTGAGAAAAACCCAGGCTGCTTACTGCTTTTCTGGCCAAAAGATGGGGTTGTTGTTCACAATTCTGTAGCTTCGTGCAAATATATATATATATATTTTTTCCAAATACAAAACATGTTCCTCTTAATGGATACAATTTTGGAAGGGATAATGGAAGGAAGATCAAAAATCAACATCATCATCTCCCAGTTTAGAGAGGATACCCGAAGAGGCATGGCAATGGAGTTGTAAATTCTACCTTTTGACATACACACTGATTTGCTTTGCACTCAATCATTTTACTAACACAACAGTGGCATGTTTGAAGTACACGTAAAATGTTGCCAGGAAGCAAAAAAATTTCAGCACTGCTTGAGTGTTCCTTGAACTTCCCAGGGTCTTCTGCCTGGGTGCTTTTACTAACTTTTTTGGTTGATTAATATGAGGAAGGGAGGAACAAATTCTGACTTCCAGAGCCCATTTCATTTTCTTTTAAAAAACAAAAAAGCAAAATTCTAAGAGCTGTAATTCCGCCGGTATTTGGGTGGGTGCAACTGTTCAGGGCAAAGGAACATCTGAAGCAATTGAAGGAGGCAGAAAATTGGCAGACAAACAATAACCAGAGAAAGCCAAAGTTGAACAGAAGAACACATATTGTTATCAGGTTTCACTAAGAGGTAAATAACAAAAGCGAGCTGTGTTCCTAACAAAGGGAAAGGAAAATATGCCTGCGTGCAAAACTGTGTACGGGAGCAGAAATGTGTGGAACAGCAAATATTAGATTCCAAATGCCCTTTATTTAAATGCCTTTAAATTATGTATGATATGAGAAATGCACATTAAAAGGTGATTTGCGTAGCCTCTTTGTTTGTTTTCAATTGTTCGGAGCACGGGATGAAAACAAAGTAAGGGGTGGGAAGATACCGTTTCATCCATACCGAAGCTTCACACAGGTGCAGAGAAAGGAACAAGCGCTGTTGATTGTGCAGAATCACAATGTTGTTGTTTTTTGCTATCAACAATCTTCTCTAACTGTTAAAGGTAAAGGATGATTTTTCTTTCAGAGTTTTTTCCCCCCCATTCTTAAAATTAAAGTAAACTAGACAAACTGAGAAACATGGTTTTAGACATGTAGTGTTCTAAGACCATGTGTGTTTTCACCTGTATATTGCTAGACATTTCTCTGAATTCTGTTTTAATTTTAATTTTAAAACAAAAACCTTATTAATTTATTTATTAAATTTATCGGCTGCCCATCTTACCCCGGGGTAATTCTAGGTGGCTCACAATGTTAAAAAGGATAAAGCTATACAAAACCTAGAGAGAGAGGGAGAGAGGGAGAGAGAGGGAGGGACGGGGAGAGAGGAAGAGAAGAAGAGAGTGAAGGAGAGTGGGGAGAGAGGAAGAGAGGGAAAGAGAGAGAGGGGGGGGAAAGAGGGGGAGAGGGAAGAGAGGGAGAGAGAGGGAGAGAGGGAGGGAGAGAGGGAGGGGGAGAGAGAGGGGGAGAGGGAAGAGGGAGAGAGAAGATATTATAAAAATGCAAATACTCAACCCTAACTGAAAGATGGGGAGGGAGGGAGTAAGATGAGCAGGGGAGGAGGGAGGTGAGAGCTGTTATCAATCTATCAACCTTAAGCCATTATCTGCACATTTTGCAAATCCAAAGGTCTCTCTTGGGAGTGGGAGTGATGCAAGACAATGTTTTTCAAACTTGGCAACTCTGACACGAGTGGATGTCAGTTCCTAGAATTTCCCAGCCAATTGGGAAATTGACAACTATGGAGTTGACGTTCACTCATTTTCAAGTTGCCAAGTTTGAAAAACACTGGTTTGCATCATTAAACTTAATGGCAAAACGTGAAAAGGCTGAATCATGACTCTTGCTCTGTACGATGTCCCAGATTAGAAATACAGAGAGGATAATGGTACAACTTTACTTTCCAGGGGTTTCATGCAACCGTGAAATAAAACCAACAGTGGAGATACTTTTATGCAATTAATTAAACTATTTGTTTCACTCTGCAGGGACAAACAAAAAAAAAAAAAAACCAACGCATCATGAATATTAAGGATTATTTTGAAAGAATTTGTTACAAAGGTTCCCAGGAAAAAACAGACTTGGAAACCTTAACAGAGGTTTTTCAACATCACATCAGCGCAGTGCCCTTTGAAAACCTCAGTCTCCACTGTGGCGAAACCATTCAGTTGGATTTAGAATCGGTGTATGATAAAATTGTGAAGCACAGTCATGGTGGATGGTGCATGGAAAACAACCAACTTCTGTTTTGGGCCTTCCAGACCATGGGCTATGAAGTTGGCCTTTTAGGTGCTCGTGTTTATGTGCCAGAGCGAAAGGCCTACAACCAAGATGTCACTCATGTTCTGATCAAAGTCACCCTTGAAGGTAAAACCTACATTGTGGATGGTGGTTTTGGAGTGGCTTATCAGATGTGGCAACCGATGGAGCTGATTTCTCAGAAGAACCAACCTCAGACCCCAGGAATCTTCTGCTTCACGGAGAAGGGTGGCGTGTGGTACTTTCACAAAGTGAAGCGCAAGAAAGTCAGGATGGATTCCGAGAACAAAATTCTCTGCTCTGATATTGTAAAAAACGGGACCTGTAAGAACATTTATTTGTTTACTTTGCAACCAAAGACAATAGATGACTTCCGGCTGGCCTCTTTACAACTCCAAACTGATCCAAGTTCTATGTTTTTAAGGAAGTCCATCTGTAGTCTCCAGACTACTGATGGATTTCTAGTTTTGATTGGGTGGGTGCTGACTGAAACCAAATATAATTATAAAGACAACATGGATCTAGTAGTAAGCACAGTCCTGATGGGTGAAGAAGTCCAGAAAATACTGAAGGAACGATTCAAGATTCAGCTGGACAAAACGTTTGTCCCTCTTAACACCTGTTCAGTGTCCATGTTTTAATTCAGGTGGCCAAGGGTGAACTTCACTCAACAATGCAGTTCATCCTGAAGCAACGGAAATGAAATTGGGAAGCAACTTTGGAGAATTCTCACCACGAAAAGATCCAAAGGGATGTTGGGTGAACACTTTAGAGAAGAAGATTGTTCTGACCTAGGCTTCCCCAGCAGCACGAAGCCGAGTCCTCGTCCCGATAAACCCCTTTTATTTAATTTACAGTGAATTCCTCTCCAGCAAAGTCTTTCCTCTCCCACAGTCTTTCAAAATAGTTCACAATTACCAACCTTTATCAGGCTTGGAGAGTGGACAGGCCAATATCTTTCAGATGCCGCAATACTTGGCAAGAATACAGTAATGAATTAATTATCTCCTGCAAACTCCCCTCCCCTTTCGCTCCTCTTTTATTCCCTCTGGGAGGGGCCATTCACAGTCCACCTGTGGACTTACTCCCAAGTCAACCCTTGTTTTTTTAGCTGTTCCCTTCGTCTGGCAACTCAGTGCTTGCGCACACTGGGAACAGGCTCCAGCTGTTCGTCTGCCTCACTGATGTCTAATTCCAAAGGCAGCTGATAACTGGCCTATGGCCCTGGCCCTCTCTCTGCCTCTGATGTAGAGCCTTCCCCGGACTCCAGGACTGGCCCATGATCTTCCCCAGCCTCCTGACTGTCCGACTCTGCTGCCAGCTCCGCAGGCTGCTTGCGGACCACAAGATTTACTTGAATCTGCTGCCAGATCTACTGGCCACTGGCAGGACACAACAAAGATGCTCTATTTTCTTGGGCAGATTCGGGTCAATTTAGAGAGCAAATGCCGTCCTTTATGCAAGCTGAATTTGCTGGCTCTAGGCTTTGCCACAGGGTTAGCGATGTAAGTCTACTTTGAAGTAGGAAAAGGGATAAGAAACCTCTTGCAAGATTATCAGTGTTGAGTTTTGACTGGTTCCTAGCTATCTCTAGCTTCACCATAATGGTGAGATTTTAAATCAGTATCTTTTCAGTCCTTACCTGGTCTCTAAGATATATAGAGATTTAGAAAGGCCTTCGATCGGGATATATATAAAGGCGTGGAATCTCCTGTATGAAGCTGCGCTGACTTTAAGATCATCTAATGAGGTTCTCCAAGAGAGGTGAAGATGGATAAGGGGAAGAGCTTTTTCCTTGGTGGTAACCCAGTGATGGAATTCCTTCCCCAGAGTTGGTCGCCGAGCACCTATATTAGCATTGTTTGTCCTGGGCTTTTTAAGTGGCTTGTAATTGTATTTTGATTCTTGCCTTTTGAATGATCACAGTGCTGCTGCCAATTTTAGACGGTGTTTTTTATAGTGCATGGCATTGGATTTGAAAGTATATATTTTTACTTGGATTTTTGCGCATGGGTTACATGGATTTGATTGTAAATCCGCCCAGGGAGCTTTGCCTATTGGGATATCTACTAAAATAATATGAAGTGGTCTTGATGGTTCTCCCAATTAAATATTTTACAAGTGTTTTCTGTGTGTCTGTGTGTGTGAATTCAGCATGGGTTTTAAAAATCTGACTCCTTTTTAAAAAGCATCTGGGTTTGCTTGCCAGCAAGGAAACTCTTAAGTCCCAAAGGGTCTGGTATAACGTTCCTGTGAGAATACAGCACACTGTTGGGCAACGTTGAGAATAGCAGTCCTCTCAAGACAAAAACGATTGAAACTGCTAAATCACGCCTGCAAGAAGTAGGATTCTCGCTATAGTCTTTGCATCAAACGGCAAATTGAAAATCGCTTCTCGTTTTCCAATTACCCAGCAAATTCTAATCTTAACTGAGTTAGAACGTAGGGGTTTTATTGCTTTATATCTTGCCAGGAGCCACCCTGAGACCTCCAAGGGGTCAGAGAACGTTCTATAAGAAACCACAATCTCTCTCTGTGTTATTCTCTGTAATCAAGATTTACTTGAGCTGATCAAGTCACAAGTCAGAGACTAATAAGGGGAGATAAAATGGTGCAACTGCTAAGTTTGTACTTCTGTATCTCAAATGCCTCGGTGCAGGTGAAAGCAAATTTCTTTTGGAGCCTGTGAAAGATCTCTATTTCCTGTCTTAGAACGTAGAACATGAAATAATAGGATTGGAAAAGACTGTGAGTTGTTCTCATCCAAGCCCGTTACCCTCATCAACATTGGCAAGGCAAGTGCTGTATATACAGGGAATAAATCCCAAACCAACAATGATGATCATCCCTCACACTAAGGAGCACATGAAGTTATGGCTTTTGTAGTCTAGTTTTTCAGCACATAGGGTGAATGTTAGTTGTTCTTCATGCCTTTTCTCCACAATTTTATTATAAGCCTGTTCTAAGGATGCTGGGATTTTCCTACGGCACAGCTTTTACGGGATGTTGAAAAAAAAAATGTGTTTCTACCTTGAGTTGAGTGAGCTGTTGCAACATATCCTTGCAAAAAAAAAAAAAAAAATCTCGAATGGGGTTCCTGGAAGGCAAGTGTAAAAAAGAAACTAATTAAAAATGATGGGGCTGTGAAAAGCTTTTTGGGCTTATAGAATTCAGAGTGATGTTTCAAAGAAATTCTAGAGAGGAAGCCGAGAACCCGGGCATTAAGGGACCACTTGGCTGCAATTCATGATTTATGAGACCCAGCATTAGCCATCGGTTCAGATGGCTTCCAGAGGGATTCAGACAAATTCAGAGAGAATTCTCTTGGTTCAGAGAGAAAAAGCAGTTGAATGCATTCAGTGGGGGAATGGCTGCAGGAAACAATTCTTTCTTTAACATTAAGCTTAGGACTTCCCTGGAAAAACCTCTGTATCCAGGAGAGGTTCTATCCGGCGTCTAAACTATTTATATGTTTTTAGGCCCAAGCAGAAGAAGCAGAAAAATGTAAAAATGTAAAAAAGGGTGGCTGAGTGTCTAAAACGCTGAGCTTGTCAATCGAAAGGTCAGCAGTTCAGCAGTTCAAATCCCTACTGCCGCATATCGGATTGAGCTCCCGTTACCTAGCAGTTCAAAAGCACGTAAAACATGCAAGTAGAAAAATAGGGACCACCTTTGGTGAGAATGTAACAGCGTTGTGTGCGCCTTTGGCGTTGAATCATGCCGGCCACATGACCACGGAGACGTCTTCGGACAGCACTGGCTCTTCGGCTTTGAAACAGAGATGAGCACTGCCCCCTAAAGTTGGGAATGACTAGCACATATGTGCAAGGGGAACCTTTATATTTACCTTAAAAATGTAAATGTTTCATCGACCAAGTCCTTGAATGGTGGAGAGCTACTGTCCTAGTTCATCTGTCTTCCTGATCAGAAATAATATATTTGTAACCTTAAATGTAGGCAATATAATGGGAGGGAATGTTCTCCAACACAACCATCAAGGACCGGAATGTGTAACACAGGATAATAATTTGGAGAAATTATAAACACCTAAATATTTAGCAGGACCTGTACGTTGAAAGTTCACATCTTCTTGTTCCCTTCCTATTTTTGGAACGTTTTGTGGTTATTGCAAAAGGAAAACGTCGTCATTATTTCAATTCTGATTTTCTGGGTGCACATAGTTTGCAAAGAGCATGTTTAATAAACCGAACAGGGAATGAAAATCCCGTTAAATCCTTAACGGGGGGGAGGGGTGGAGTGGGAAGAACGATATCAGTTTAATTAAAAGTGCCAATATTTGCAAAGACTTAATTTCCAATCTCCACTAATTTCTGTTTATACATATTTTGGTAAGACATGGGAGAATTAATTGTAACAAAGCCACAACGAGCAACAACAGTGTTATGTTTGTGTGTGTGCATGTCATGTTAAATTGTTAAAATAATGCTGGAAATTCCCTAAACTTTCTTTCACATCGTATGTCCATCCTTCTTCACCTGCTGCTTACAGCGCATTGAGGTGAAAATGCAGAAAGGCCATTCCAGGGGTTTTTAAAACTGGGCACGGTTGAGCTGGAATCCACCTCCATGGAAACTGGATCTTAAAAATCCAGTTTCTGCAATGAACGTTAAGGATCAAGGAGGACAAGCAGACCCATTTGGCTTCATTTGTATAAATGAACTAGAAGAACGTCACTGGAAGAGTCCATTGCGGTTGAGCAGCTTGTAAATTCAAAGAAATCATCATTTCATAAACTTTCATAGGATTGAAACATAAATATCTGCGGGTGTTTGAGTTGGAGGAGGAGGAAGAGGAGGAGGAGGAAGAGAAGAGGAAGAGGAGGAAGAAGAAGAGGAGGAGAGGAAGAGGACAGGAAAAGGAGGAGGAGGAGGAGAGGAGGAAGAGGAGGAGAGGAAGAGAAGAGGAAGAGGAGAGAAAGAGAAGAAGAGGAAGAGAGGAAGAAGAGGAAGAAGAGGAGGAGAGGAAGAAGAGGAGAGGAGGAGGAGAGAGGGATGAAGAGGAGGGGGAGAGGAAGAGGAGGAGAGGAGGAGGAGGAAGAAGAAGAGGAGGAGAGGGAGAAGAGGAGGAGAGGAAGAGAAGAGGAAGAGAAGGAAGAAGAGGAGGAGAGAAGGAGGAGAGAGGGAGGAAGAGGAGAGAGAGAGGAAGAGGAGGAGAAGGAGAGAAGGAGGAAGAAGAGAAGAAGAGGAGGAGAAGGAGAGAAGGAGGAAGTAGAGAAGAAGAGGAGGAAGAAGAGGAGGAGGAGAGAAGGAGGAAGGGGAGGGCTTTGGAGCTCTGGGAAGTGGATGGTGCTGGGAGCTGTCCTCCCAGTAGATCTGGAGGACAACATGGGTGAAGACTGAACAGCCCTTCATAGAGTTTCTCTCTGCTATCTGTATCTCTGTATGTAATAATATAACTGAGAGACTACAAGTAGCTCCTCACTTACAACTACTCGTTTAGTGATTGTTAGACGATACAATGACACTGAAAAAAGTGACCGGTTTTCACACTTATAACCCCTGCAGCCTCGCCATGGCCACGCAATCAAAATCCAGGTGTTGGCAACTGGCATGTATTTATGTCCCTTGCTGGCTCCTGACAAGCAAAGTCAACGGAGGCAGCCAGATCTGCTTAACAACGGCATGATTCCCTTTAACAACTGCATTTGTGGCAAGGAAGGTCATAAAAGGTGGTGCAACTCAGTGGTGGGTTTCAAAATTTTTTACCACCCGTTCTGTGGGCGTGGGTTGGTGGGCGTGGCAGGGGAAGGATACTGTATAATCTCCATTCCCACCCCATTCCAGGGGAAGGTTACTGCCAAATCCCCATTTCCTCCTGATCAGCTGGGACTCGGGAGGTAGAGAATAGATGGGGGCGGGGCCAGTCAGAGGTGGTATTTGCCGGTTCTCCGAACTACTCAAAATTTCCGCTACCGGTTCTCCAGAATCTGTCAGAATCTGCTGAAACCCACCTCTGGTGCAACTCCCTTAGCCATTGTCTTGCTTAACAACAAAAATGTTGAGCTCAATTGCGGTCATAGGTCGAACACTAGCCGTACTGTGGGAATCTCTCTGATTTTGTGTAGTGAATCTTCTTCCATTTGGGATACACAAAAACCCACGTAGACAACTTAATTATTATTTATTTCCAAGTGATAATAGGCCCATTTGGCTGATACATTAGATAGAAGAACCGATAAAGAAAGGAGTTGCCCCCCCCAACAAAAAAAGAGGCTACAGCAAAAAGATGCATCCCCCCCCCCCCCCACTTTAACCCTCTTCTTCTTTTGTGAATCCGTGTTTTCCTCAACGGAAATGATGCTAAGGCACCTGGAGAACATCTTCAGAAATTAAAAACGCCTGCCCCTTAGGAAGGCGTTTTTCAAGATGAAGCAGATAAAACCAAGTCTTGAATTCTGTTTCTTAAAAAAGGAACCATTTCCCTACTACTGTATTTTTCAGCGTATAAGACGCACCTACCTTTTTGGGTGAGGAAAAGAAGAAAAAGAAATCTCCCTCTGGCTCTGAGCAATTTTGCCTCGTTGCAGCAAACAGCAAACAGCCTGCTTTACTTCCATTTTTGTTTTCAGCATAGCTTGATTAGCACAAGGAAACAAAAATCTGCTCCAGCAATTTACCTCTTTGCAGCAAGCAGCAGAGCCCTGCGCAAAACAGCTGAGAGCAAATCAGCTGAGAGTTGGGAGGCAGATCCAATCAACTTGTGCTAATTAGGCTGTGCTGAAGCTGTTTTTTCTTGCTGTTTGCTTGCAAGGGGGTAACTGCTGCGAGGCAGAGGCCAAAGGGTGGGGGCCAGTGGGTGGGCGGGGCTACATTTGGTATATAAGAAGCACCTAAATTTTCACCCCCTTTTAGGGGGGAAAAAGGTGCATTTTATACTCCGAAAAATACAGTATTTACCAACAACCACTTATATCTGTTTTAGTGCTCCTCAAAAATTTGTGCATGGGGAAGAGAGGATGTATAACATCCATTAGGTATTTTTTGGTGGTGGGGGGGGAAGGACCAGTTCTGTCCAGGAGAGTCAACAATTTACAAAAATAAATGGCACTCTAACTTTCTGTCCCTTGCGGGTACACACACACAATATCTGACATTAATCCTGGGGTTTCAAAAATCCTTTTCTCACTTTGATGGGCCTCCTCTCATTGCTCTCCAACTCCGTAGGATCTTGCAAAACGTGGCGGTCTCTTTTCTTCAGGAATTTCTTCCCGACGGTTCCCACTAACGTTTCATACCTGTGAACAATCATTGCAAATGTGAGAGGAATGTTCAAACACGGTTGTAGCCCTTGAGAAGATCACGAAATCATCTTAAAATGCTCGTTCTCTGGTCTGGCACCTCCCAAAATATAGAGACTTCAACTTCTAGATTTCTTTTTTTGTTTTGTTTTGTTTCTTGTTTTCTTTTTTAGTCCAAGGAGAGAGAGGGAAGACAAGGTTGTGCTTTCCATGTCAAACTTTCCAAGCTCTTGACTGTCCCGTCCATTCAAACAGACAGAGCTTCGTGTAGTTTGGTTTTACAAAAGTCTTCTCTCTTTTGACCCCTAACATAGTTTTGAAAATCAACCCAGAGAAAATGACATGAAAACAGGAGGCAGAGCAGCAAGGAGAAAAGAATAAAAGTTTTCCACGCCTTCAATAGATAAAAAGAGTTTCCCCCCACAATAAAGAACAGCCCAAAAGGAGATAAAATCAACCTTGCAAGGAAGTCCTTATGAAAAATTAGCTCAAACAACCTTTCCTAACTTGGTGTGTTTGAACTAGGACATGGCGTAAATAGCCTTATAATTTTCCGCCAAATTTGGATGGATAAAATTTGTTGTAAGCCGCCCAGAATCCTCGGAGAGTTGGGCAGCATAGAAATACAAATAATAAATAAATAAATAAATAATTTTGGCAAACATTTTTCACAACAACCCTGTGAGGTTGGGCTGAGAGAGGGAGGGGCTGGACCAAAATCACCCAGCTGATTTTCCTGCCTAAGGCAGGACTAGAATTCACAGTCTCCTGGTGATTGGCCCAGAGTCACCCAGCTGGCTTTCCTGCGTAAGGCGGGACTAGAACTCACAGTCTCCTGCTGATTGGCCCAGAGTCACCCAGCTGGTTTTTGTGCCTAAGACGGAACTAGAACTCACAGTCTCCCACCTGAACCATTACAAAAAGCCGGCTCTGTTTTCTGCTGAAGATATCCAGCTTTTAATTTAAAATCCTTCTTCCCGCCTCCGGCTGCAGCATCCCTGTTTTTCAGTCCCCCTCAGAGCCAAATGCGTTAAAAAGATTTTGAAATGATTTCTCTAGGAACACCTATAAATATTTCCTCTAATGTTTTTGTTGGCTATGAACCCAATAAAAGAAAGAAAGAAAGAAAGTAAGTACTGGGGTTGATGTCTGACTGAGGTAGCCTGGAGAAAGCAAGCAAAGCATTTTTATTTGGTTTTTTTTTTTTTTATTAAAAGGAACGCATCAGGTCAAAAGCTTATTTCTGTTATAAAATCATCCTCTCTTGCAAAACAAGCGTTTTGAACATCAAAAGCTTGGTCATTTGGGAGAACTTTCATTTTAGATTGGAGCGAGGGGGGGGGGGGGAAGGGAAAAAAAAACACATCACGACAACGTTATTTGTGTTATAATGGGGAAGAAGTACCTTCTAGCCATTTCCTCATCCGATACATCAGTTTCCTTTACATTTTTTTCCTCCCCGATGTCTTCTGTCTTGTACTTTGAGTTCATCTGGACCATTAACTTCTGAAAATGAAAAAAAAACCTGGAATATCACTTTAGGTGTTACGTTCCTTGAAGGAAAAAAAAAAAACTCAAGGAGACCGATTTTGGCAAGAATGAGGGAGATGAATAGACAAGCAATGCAAACATTAAGTACCTCAATATTTTCTTTCTTAGCTGAAGGACTCGGGGCCAAGTTTGATATCACACTGACCCTCGGAGAATATTATTACGGCTAACTGCTCAACTGTAGCATCTTTCCTTGTGGCTTATAGCCCAAAAAGGCCCTCCCTCCAGTCCACAGACGCTCATGCCCCAATAAGAATGCTATTTCTGGCGTCGTTAAAAAATATGTTAATCTTGATGGATCAAGATGAAAACAGTTTTCGGATTTTTCTTTTCCACAGATGAAGCAGTGATTAAAGCTTCTCATCACATTCTATTTGCTAACCAGTCAATCGATGGCAGAATGCAAGACACTAAGAGTCACTATCCAGAGGCGTTGCTCCAATTCAGCTCTCCGGTTAAATTCTGAACAGATCAGTGCTGCAAATATTTCATGTGGAGCCAAAATTCAGAAAATGGTTAATTCAGGAACCAGGTTAAGCAGGTTGTATGAATGCAACTGGTCTGGAGGAGGTTTCTTCTGAACTTCTCATGAATGTTCTCTGCTTTTATATCTAGTGAATTCATCAGAACCAAAACTACCATCCATCCATCCATCCATTGTATGCATAAATGTATCTATCTCTATCCATCCATCCATCCATATGTATCTATCATCCCTCCTTCTAATGTATGTATGTATGTATGTATGTATGTATGTATGTATGTATGTATGTATGTATCATCCATTTACCCACCCACCTGCCCGCCCATCTGTCCGTCCATCCATCCATCCATCCATTGTATGCATAAATGTATCTATCATCTATCTATCATCTATCATCCATCCATCCATCCATCCATCATCCATCCATATGTATTTATCATCCATTCACCCATCCACTGTATGCATGAATGTATCCATCCATCCGCCCATCCATCCATCCATCCATCCATCCATCCGTATCATCCCTCCTTCTAATGTATGTATGTACCTATGTATGTATGTATGTCTGGGCCAAAACTATTTAATTTGATTTTAATTTTGCTTTTAAATTTTGTATGTATGGATTTTATTGTTGGCTGTTCACCGCCCTGAGTCCTTCGGGAGTAGGGTGGTATAGAAATCAATTAAAATATAAAAATATAAAATATAAAATATAAATACCTACCTACCTACCTATCATCCATTCACCCGTCCACTTTATGTATGAATGTATCCATCCATCCATCCATCCATCCATCCATCCATCCATCCATCCGTCCACCCGCCCGCCTGCCCATCCATCCATATGTATTTATCACCCCTCCTTATAATGTATCTATCTATCTATCTATCTATCTATCTATCTATCTATCTATCTATCTATCTTCCATTTACCCATCCACTGTACGTATGAATGTATCCACCCAGCCACCCAGCCAGTTATTTCAATATGGTACAAACTGAATCAGGGATTTCACTGACCTTGAACCGCCTTTATAAACCAGATCCCCAAGAGGATGAAAAATGCTATAGGCCCAAAGAAAATAATAATACCTCGACTTCAGGATTGAACCCTTTGAAGGACATTCTGCCATACAGAAGGTCTTCACACATCGCGAAGCTTCTTTCCTCTATGACGAGGCTCCTGTGAAGAAATCATTGCTTTAAAAAGAGAACCAAACAAGCAAGTTGAGCTTAGCCAACCTCTTGGCAGGAAATTAAAAAAACAAAAACAAAAACCTCAAGATTGATCTCCAATTGGAGAAGCCAATGCTTGCTTTTGGTTTTGTTTTGAAGTTGTGGCTGCTTCATCACTGAGGTTTTTAAGAAAAGACCGAAGAGTCTGGAATAGTATGGGGTCTCCTTCTTGATCAGGGGGTTGGACTAGAAGACCTCCAAGGTCCCTTCCAATGCCGTTATCCTGTTAATTCTGCTTTTTATCTTCCCAACTCCTCCCACATCTGCAAAGACTAAAAGGGTAGCCAACTTACTCTTTCTGTTTCAGTTCCGGCCGATCCAGAAACCAATGTTCTTCGCTGATTATTTTCTTCTCCTCTTCCTCAAGTTGCTTTTTGGTTTCTGAATCCAAGCCCCTTTGCATGAACTGAAAGACAAGATGCAAAGGCACCATGGTTTTTAAAAGTGTATTTATTAAATCTGTAGGCTGCCCGTCTTACTATCAAGCGACTTTGTGGGAGCTTAGTCCTCGACTTACAAACATTCAGTTTTCCGACCGTTCGAAGTTACACCGGCAGTGAAAAAAGTGACTTGTGACCATGTGTCGCACTTACGTCCGTTGCATCATCCCCAAAGTCATGTGATCAAAATTTAGGCATTGGGAAACCGAGGTGGATTTAAGATAGTTGCAGCGTCCCAAGTAGGGGTGAAATCCAGCAGGTTCTGACAGGTTCTGGAGAACCAGTAGCGGAAATTTTGAGCAGTTTGGAGAACTGGCAAATACCTCCTCTGGCTGGCCCCAGAGTGGGGAGGGAATGGGGACTTTGCAATATCCTTCCCCTGCCACACCCACCAAACCACGCCCACCAAGCCACACCATGCCCACAGAGCCAGTAGTAAAAAAACTTGGATTTCACCACTGGTCCCAAGGTCATATGATCCACATTTGCGACCTTCCCAGCTGGCTTATGACAAGCAAAGCCAATGGGGGAAGCCAGATTCACTTAGCAACCATTTAACAAGTGCACTGATTTGCCGAACAATCAACACTGAAAAATCAGGCACAATTCACTTAAACAACTGCCTTGTTAGCAACAGAAATTTCTGGTTACAATTGTGGTCGTAAATTGAGGACTACTGCATTATGTTATTCATCACACAACATGATAAATCGCTAGAACAGAAAGGTGACACACAACGAATGACAAGAATGACATACTAAAACGTGTCATAACCACATACATAACTTTCTTTCTTTTTTTATTAAAGAAATCTGGCCCTTATTTGGAGAAAAGTAAAAAAAAAAGGGAAAGGGGGAAAAATGCCATTATGAAGGCAAGGAATTGCTTAAATTCGTTCAATTAAAATTCTAGGCGAATATTGTTTTCTGCAAAAAAAAATAATCCCGTTAACAGTGGCTATAATCACCTGAAAAAGATTAAGCACGCAAAAACACCTTGCGATAAAAATGTGCAGCTCCCGATTTAAACAGCTGCGAGGCAAAGGATTAAGAGAGAAAACATAACAAATGGTGATTTGTTTGCGCTTCCAGGAGGGAGCTTAATCTAGGGCAAGAGACGGCCTAGCAAGCTGTGAAAAAAGAAAGACTGCCCCGGCGAACGCTCCCATCCAGGTGTGTTGCAACCGCAGCTCAGCTGCTACCGCTGCTGCCTCTGGCTTTTGACACAAGGTGCCGTTTTGCAGGGAAAGGAGCCGCGGGCGAGCAAATCAGCAGCGGGAGGACGAAGCTGGCCCGGAGCAGAAGGCTACTGCTCATTTTCATATCATTTGCATACCGGCTGGATTTGAAAAACAGACAGTCGCTCCTGCTGCCCTAGCAAATTTCTTATGATTTATCAGGTGCTGTTTGCAACTTATGATTGCAACTATGGTTTATGGCCTATGGTCTATGACTTGCTCTTTTGGATGTACATTGTGAGTTTATGCACCGGAGACAAATTCCTGGTGTGTTCAATCCTCTTCTCTTCTCTTCTCTTCTCTTCTCTTCTCTTCTCTTCTCTTCTCTTCTCTTCTCTTCTCCACACTCCACTCCACCACTGTCATGGTTCCCTTCCCTTCCCTTCCCTTCCCTTCCCTTCCCTTCCACTCCACTCCACTCCACTCCACTCCACTCTTACTTACTCTACTGTCATGGTTCTCTTCTCTTCAAATCTCTTCTCCTCTTCTCTCCTCTCCTCCACCCTACCCTACCCTATCCTACTCTACTGTCATGGTTCTCTCCTCTTCAAATCTCTTCTCCTCTCCTCCACCCTATCTTACCCTATCTTACCCTACCCTACCCTACCCTACCCTACCCTACCCTACCCTACCCTACCCTACCCTACCCTACCCTACCCTACTCTACTCTATTCTATTCTATTCTATTCTATTCTATTCTATTCTATTCTATTCTATTCTATTCTATTCTATTCTATTCTATTCTCATGGTTCTATTATACGACTTTTCTTGCCACAGTTAAGTGAATCACTGCAGTTGTTAGGTTAGTAACACAATTGTTAAATGAATCTGGCTTTCCCATTAATTTTGCTTGTCGGAAGGTCGAAAACAGGGGTCCCATGACCCCGGCACAATGAATTGTGTTCATAAATGTGAACCAGTTGCCAAGCATCTGAATTTTGATCACGTGACCACAGGGATGCTGCGATGGTCGTTAAGTGTGAAAAATGGTCCTATGTCACTTTTTTTCAGTGTAACTTTGACCGGTCACTAACTGTTGTAAATTGGGGACTGCCTGTCCTAGTTCTTTTTCTGACATCAGCTTTCTATGTTTCTGTGGCTCAGCCTGGAGTATACTATATTGATCTCAGCTATCCAGAAGACCCATTGATCCGACAGAACGAAATTCACTTCCATGGAAAAGGGATTAGGGCTGCAATCCTGAATAAATCCTTCCAAGAGGGCTAATTCCGAGCACTCGAGCCTCTCAACCTTTTGTCAGATCCATGGATCATTTTGCAGACAACCCCTTTTAAATCACCTGTCAGATCTACCAGCAAAACTTCTCCGTCAAGTAAGTAACCGCTCAGGGGCTTGAGAAGGGAGAACAAACTAAATAAATGGTGGGGTTTATTTTTTGGGTTTTTTTTTTTTTCTTCAATCCCACTCGGCCTTTGTTGTTTGTTTTTCTTCCAACAACAACAATAATAATAATATTTAATGGCAGCCTGAGAGACGGGAGATTAAAAAAAAAAATAATGCCTCCGACATCAACTTGAAGCAAACAAACCATGAAGGGTCGGCTATATTGAGTTATAAATATTGGATGAGTATTTATATTTTTAAAAATTAATGGCAATCCGGCTCAGATGTTCTTCTCCTGAAAGAAGAAGAAAAAGAAAAAGAAGCCAACGGAGCCATCATCAATCAGAGCTGTGTCTTCGGCTGAATGATGCGTTACATTACAGAACAGGAGTGGAGTTCATTAGGCAGTGAACCGAGATTAATCTGGCTTTTGAACTCAATACCAAATGCACATATCCAAGGAAAACTGCCAGGTCCGGGTTTTATTAACACACCCCATTCACCAGTCCCCCGTGTCCCCCCCCCCCGATAGCAACATGGCTGCATTGGTTCAGTTGGAAAAGAGGGGAAGGTATACAGACTTGCAACAGTTTGCTTAGTGAGTGTTGGAAGCTATAACTGCACTGAAGAAAAGGAACTAAACACACTCAAAACTGTAGAAATGATGGTGGACTTTAGGAGAAACCCTCCCATACTACCACCTCTTACAATACTAAACAACACAGTATCTACAGTAGAGACCTTCAAATTTCTCGGTTCTACCGTATCGCAAGACCTAAAATGGACACCTAACATCAAAAACATCATCAAAAAAGCTCAACAAAGAATGTTCTTTCTGCGCCAACTCAAAAAGCTCAAACTGCCCAAGGAGCTGCTGATCCAGTTCTACAGAGGAATTATTGAGTCTCTCATCTGCACCTCCATAACTGTTTGATTTGGCTCTGCAACCCAACAAGACAGACACAGACTTCAGAGGATAATTAGAACTGCAAAAAAAAAACAATGGCTACCAACCTGCCTTCCATTGAGGACCTGTATACTGCACGAGTCAAAAAGAGGGCTGTGAAAATATTTACAGACCCCTCACATCCTGGACATAAACTGTTTCAACTCCTACCCTCAAAATGACACTATAGAGCACTACACACCAGAACAACTAGACACAAGGACAGTTTTTTCCCGAACTCCATCACTCTGCTAAACAAATAATTCCCTCAACACTGTCAAACTATTCACTGTCTGCATTACTATTACTATTAATCTTCTGATTGTTCCTATTACCCATCTCCTCCCACTTATGACTGCATGACTGTAACTTCGTTGCTTGTATCCTTACGATTTATATTGTTTCCTAGTATGATTTGATTGCTTATTTGTACCCTATGACTATCATTAAGTGTTGTACCTTATGATTCTTGACGAATGTATCTTGTCTTTTTATGTACACTGAGAGCGTATACACCAAAGACAAATTCCTTGTGTGTCCAATCACACTTGGCCAATAAAGAACTCCTATTCTATTCTATTCTATTCTATTCTATTCTATTCTATTCTATTCTATACTCTACTCTACTCTACTCTACTCTACTCTACTCTACTCTACTCTACTACTCTACTCTACTCTACTCTACTCTACTCTACTCTACTCTACTCTATTCCTATTTCTATTTCTATTTCTATTTCTATTTCTATTTCTATTCTACTCTGTGTTGTACCTTATGATTCTTGACGAATTGTTTTCTGGTTTCCAGCCTGGGTGCCTTAACCCTTAAAAAGTTTTAATGTTTACTGTTTAATTTTATTGTTTAAATTGCATTGCATTTTAAATTCCACATTTTCATGCTTTTTCTTCTTTATTAGGTAAGCAAACAAACAAAAAACAAACAAAAAGTTATACTTATTATACTAGAACGAAGGCTGAAGTGCAAATATGAAATAAATTAAAGGTAAGACAAACAAGAAAATGAAAAAAAAATGGGGAAAAAAACATTCTAATGCCCTTATTTCCCCCCCCCTCCAACTGCTAATTTCTACTTAAAAATTTTTAAACTGTGCCTTGGACTTCTGTGATTATTGCTCATCTCTATGTGCATCATTTTAATTCCTTTTCAAACAAGTTTTTTAGTCTCTTCTCCGCTGGCCTGGTTATGTAATTTCATGCTTTTTTGAACTGGAAGTCACCAAGAGCCCTTCTTGCAAATTGCAGGGCCCCCGTGCATGTACTACGCAAACAAATAAATAAGGAGCAAATGGAAAAAGCAGAAAGCGTGAAAGAGACTTCCAAAGGCACAGAGAAATAGTGGGCTTTTTATCCCCCCAGCAAAAATTTAGCCTAGACCAACAACAGATCCAATTTAGCAAAATCTCCAACTACTTTGGGGAAAAGACGGACTTGCAAATTAAAACCCTTCAGAAGGCCTGTGGGCTTTTTAAAAAGCAATCTGCAATGCTTAAACTAGTGTTTTGGGGGTTTTTTTTGCAACTTTGGACACTTTTTAAGATTTGTGGACTTCAACTCCCAGAATTCCCCAGCCAGCAAAGCTGCCTGGGGAATCCTGGGAGTTGAAGTCCACACATCTTAAAAGAACTGAAGGTTGAGAAACGCTGGCTTAAAGTGATGCATCCGCCCCGCTGCATTCATTTGAGGCTGTAAAAAAAATAAAATGTTAATAATAAATAATAATAAAATGTCAAAGTAAAAAAATAAAATGTTAAAATGCAGGTTTAACATGCATCCCCCTTTCTTGCAAAACTATTGCAGGCTTGCAAGCATGCACAGAGGGCTTTCCTTGCACCCATAAGAAATCCAGACGAGCAAAAGCTAATTTGGGGTGGAAACTTTCTTTTCCTACAAGCATTTTTGGCGAGAATCCAATTTAATTCTTTTTTAACAGATTAAAAAGCATCATTTCGAGGTCTGAGCATGCGCAGAGGGCGAAGGGCTTCGCCAAGCGTTCAGCCCGAAGCGCCTCGTTTCCGTTCGAATCGTCTACGAGGCTCCTCGGCTCCCTCACCCCCACCCCGGCGCCCACATCCGAAGCTCTTCGGCAGCATTCGGGACCACGCCCCTCGGCTCCAATTGGCGGCTCTTCCCACGTACGTCGCCAACCGAAGCCAATCGGGTTTGCCTTCGTTTGCCGCCGGAAACGGTTCGGAAAGAGTCGTGGTGGCCCCTCCCTTTTCCGAACGCTTTCGCTTCAGCTCCTTCAGACGACTCTTACCTTCATGCGGAGGAGATTCTTGGATAGTTTGCTTTTCACGTCCCGAGCCATGGCGAGGCGAAGCTGAAATCTCCCCCACCCCCAAAAGCGCAGAAGACAGAAACCCTTTTACGGGTTTCTGTCGCTCACCGGGCCGCGGTCCCTCGTCGTGAAATCGCCACTTTGTGGTGGTAGTGGTGACTGAGCATGCGCGGGCCATCGCGCATGCTCAGTAGTCCCCGCTGATGCCTTTCCTCTTGGCTCATGCCCTTACCTTTTTTTACCTTGGAAGTCAAGTATGCATGAGACTTTTTTTTAAAAGCATGTAAAATGCAGAGTGATGAAATGAAAAAAATGTTCCTGGGAGAGTTAAAAAAAAAAAGTTTGCAAGAAAGAGAATCACAACTGGCGCATATGGAGCATGCTCAGTATATCCAAGTGATGCCCAATTCACACCCATCCTTATGAGCTGCACACACAACATCATAAATGTCAGATGAAAAAAAAATGAAAAAACAAGACAAGTATTCCTCTATTGACGACAATTCATTTAGTGACCGTTCGAAGTTACAGCGGCACTGAAAAATGTGACTTATGACCGTTTTTCATAGTTGCGACCTTTGTGGCATCCCCATGGCCATGTGATCAGATGCTGGGCAATTGACACGTACTTACGACCGCTGCTGTGTCCCGGAGTCATCTGATCCCCTTTTGCGACCTTCTGACAAGCAAGGGGGAAAGCCACTTAATGTCAGCACTTCAACCTGCATTTACTCTAGTGCTGACATAAGAAGGAGAAGAGGGGGCAGCTGGCAAGAGGATGCTTGACTTCTCACCTACTTATTTTCCCTGAAGATAATATCCCCTAGGAGATGAGATGGGAGGGGGGACATTCCTGGGAGCTTAAGTAGTAGATATGGGGAGAGTGATTTGGAAGAGGGCCAATGAGACGCAGAGAATTGGGGAACGGAAAGGGAAGGTTTGGGGTCAGGAAGTCAGAGTTGGCTACGCCACGATCGGGGACAGGTTGTCGTGCTTAATAAAATGAAAGATTTCTTCAAAGACTATCTGTTTGGAAATGCAATTTATTTTATTTGAGACGACATCGGAGCCTGACACTTAACCATACATTGAATCCCCAACCAGGCGTGGGGCTGAAAAACCATGGTGCCCAGTAGAACACCTTTTCCCCCCACCCAAGATTTAAATGGCCCCCAAGTCTGTTCCAAAAAGGTTTAAAATTTTGGATATTTCTTCAGGCATTGGGCTGGGATGAGGCGATGTAATGGGATGTGTGGAACAACCTTGGGAGGCAAGGAGACGTGATGGTACCTAGGGATAGATCTGTTCTGACGTAGGCTTCCTTAGTCCCGGCAAACCTCTTTAATTCAATTAAATTATTGAATTTAATTCAATTGTTAATGAATTATTGTCATTCCCAGTTCGAAAGGCTTCTCCAACAGTCCTTCAGGGGAGTGTTTACAAACACCCACCTTATCTCCCTTGAAATGCTGCCAGAGAACTAATTGCCACATGCAGGGCAAGACCAAACTTAGCACAGAGTCAAACAGAGCTTTTCCAGAGCTTTTCCCGAACAGATGAACTAATTGCTTCCTGCAAAAACTCACGTCCCATTCGCTCCTCTTTTATGTCTTATGGGAGGAGCCAATCATCTCCAAGCCTTACTTCCAAGTCGACCCTGTTTTCTTAATTGTTCCTGTCTTCTGGCAGTTCTGCGCATGCGCACACTGGGAGCAGGCTGATGCTGTTCTTCTGCCTCGCTGATGTCAGATTCCTGAAACTCCGGAGACAGCAAAGAACTACCAGATGGCCTTGGCCTCCTCTCTGCCTCTGACTCAGAGCCATCATCTGAGCCTTCCCCAGATTCCAGGACCGGCCCATGTTCTTCCCCAACCTCCTCACTGTCCGAATCTGCTGCCAGCTCTGCTGGCCGTTGGTGGGCCACAATAAGATCAGATAAGAGACAGCCTAGCCCTCAGCTATATCACAGACAGAAAAGGAAATTCAGAATAACTTCCCAGGCTGTTAAAAGAGACAGTGGGAGAATTGCACTTTCAGACTTACAAGATTTAGTTATTGCAGGCTTATAGTAAAGTAGAATTAGCTCACCTGGTCCTGTTTCCTATCTGGTCTATTTCTGAAAGCTGACAGGCTGGTGATACGTTTATAGGATATTAGTATGTTTGAGGATTTCAACCACATTGTAATGACATTAGTTTTGGGGTTACATTTACTCAAATTTGGGATTTTTTTTAGTTATGGTTTTAGTTATGGTTTTCATTATTAGTTGTCCAGAGTTGGACACGATAAAAAGCACAGTTGTCATCCTATAGATGAAGGAATGGATAAATAGCCTTTGTTTAATTAATTTTGGTCTTTGCTTCCATTCTCTTTTTTTCTCCTTTTTTTTTTTTTTGTCCAGGACTCCTTTTTCGAATTTAAAGGTCTAAAATTCCCCTTCTTTCTTTCGGTTTTGTTCCAGCCAATCTGGAATTGTTCAGGTCGTTCAAGGATACAGCGCAAGTAATATTCCCAAGCCATATTAAAAGAGGAGAGTGGGGAATCACAATCTGTTTCAGTCTGAGACTATTTTAATTCCTAGCCATCTTTCTCGGGAGGGATCCTAAATTGGGGAAAAAGTAGGTATTTTTTGACCTTAAGACTGAGGACACTTCAGAATTCAACCCCACCGGCTTTGCAATTTCTAAAGTGAATACGCTTGTCACTTTAATAAACATTGGTGCTACAGGCTTATTTCAGAGTGATGGAAGCTTCTAAAGTTTATAGGTTATTTTAAGTATTTGCCCCCCTGAAGGAATAGAGGCTGATTGATTAAATTGTCATTTTTTTTTCTGTCTCACTTTTTTTTTTTTTTTTTTTTGTGGTTGCGCTTGTGTGTGTGTGTGTTTTACCATAGTTGCTGAAATATATATCATATTCTGGTATTTTTAACCGTGCGGTTTGTTTTAAAAAAAGACAGCTTGGCGAAAATAAGCCAACAGAGAATTTTTAACTGGAGGAATGCAAGACAAAAAAAAGCAACCCAATCCAATCTCTGGATAAAGATATTTCTTTATGCTGTTATCCAGTGGACATCCAGATATTTGCAGCCCAGATCTGGTAGTCTTTAATCATCTTAATTATATTCACTTCCCCCCCCCCACTTTCAGCTCAGTCAGGTTAGATGTCCCACCCTCTGCAATTCTGCAGGGATGGTATAAAATCTCTTTTTGGAAGGACTTATGTCCATGTGATAATGACTTTTTGCGATCCTTAAGGTCAACCTTGGCAAATTGAAGATGTATGGACTTAGGAATTCCCAGAATTCCTAAGCCAAGCATTCATAGCTCTCTCTGGTACTCAGGGTTATCCACTCAGGAACCCTGTTAGATATCATCACCTATAGCCATGATGGCGAATCTATGGCACGCGTGTCACAGGTGGCACATGGAGCTGTATCTGTGGGCATGTGAGTGTTGCTCAAGATCAGCTCCAGAGCGCATGTGCGCGCTGGCCAGCTGATTTTTGGGTCTTCTGGGCCCACTGGAAGTGGGAAATGGACTGTTTCCAGCCTCCGGAAGGCTTCGGTGGGGGGAGGCCATTTTTTCCCTCCCCAGGTTCCTAGAAAGCCTCTGGAGCCTGGGGAGGGTGAAAAGCGGGCCTTCTTCTTGCAAACCGGTCCGAATTGGGGGCAACCCACCACTGATACAGGTCCTCTACCAAAAAGAGGTACCCCAAAAGATGTTAAAAGTTTAACTAAGTTGCCTGAGCTATTTCACCGAGCACCGATTCTTCCTGTTTTTCTAAACTTCTACTGTGGAAAAAAAAAATTGATTGGATGTTGCACTACACGGCTTTACTAAATGTGAAAACTACCGCAGCGAGACACTATGATGGATCACGGCTCAGATCTGTCATGGCAAATCCTGTAGCCGCTAACGCTTGGTTAGTTAAAGGCTCTGGAAATTACAGTCAGAGTCTGGGGTTTTTATTTGGGGGAGGGGGTTTATTCTTTAAAAGAAGCAACTTCTAATCAACTTAATGGATTCCCCTGCCCCTTGTATGTATTAGTGATCGTATTGCCATAAAGAGCAAAACTAACTCAAGGTTAGCTTTCATTAAGCAGCTGCAGAAAGCTTCTCTGTTCTTTCAGGATGATAGTGAGGGTATTGTTGGGAAATCGGACGAAAAGTACGAATTAATGGATATTGGAATGTTGCATGAATATATTTATTGCTGTTGTATTTGGGCGGTTGGTTGTCCTTTTTTTTTTTTTGCATAAAGTTTTTTTAAAAATTTTTTAACATATAAAAATTCCATTTTCAATTAAACAGTGTGTTGCCTGGGTACAAATAGTTTTGAACGATAGTAGTCGTAGTATTTACAGCAATATTCATTACATTGATATCAATTCTATAATAATAAAAATAATAATCATAATAGTTACTTCTCTACCTTAACAACTCTCCCTTGTTTCAGTAATCTTTTTCTTATATTTCCATGTTTTTAACTTCTGTTTGGGCGGTGGTTGGTTGTCTTGAGCGCTGAACCTCGCTAGCCATCCAGCGTTCATACGTCACGAGAGGGAGAACATTGTACATTGGTGAAAATAATTTTTTTTAAAAAAAAAACATGGCATGTTTTTCTTTTCAATAATAGAAGAAGGCCCAGGGGACGCTTCCCCACCCATGCAAATTGACAACTTACAGCAAATTGAAAGGAGGTTAGGCAACAATAAAATAAATAAAATAAAATAAAACAAGACAAAATGAAAAGAAAACCCCAGTTAGAGATTTCTCTTTAAAAAATGAACAGAGGGATCGGCTTAAAACCCCAATAACCCCAATGAATTTTGCCCCATTCTATGACCTTTCTTGTCACTATTGTTAAGCGAATCACTGCAGCATTAAATGAGTAACATGGTTGTTAAGCGAATCTGGCTTCCCCATTGAATTTGCTGACCAGAAGGTCCCAAAAGGAGAATCAAATGACCCTGGGACACTGCCAATGTCATAAATATGAGTCAATTGCCAAGAGTCTGAATTGTGATCGCGAGACCATGGGGATGATGTTGCAATGGCCATAAGCATGAAAAATGGTTGTAAGTCGCTTTGTCAGTGCTTCTGTAATATCAAACAGTCACAAAATGAATGGTTGTAAGTCAAGGACTA